GGTTTATACTAATATCTATTAGTGCCTGCAAGAAAAATTCATCACTTCAAAATGTGCCAGCAATAATGCATCATATTTTAGGGTTTTGAGAGCTACTGTATAACTGTAAATTTTGTTAATAAAAGTGCCTGCACAAAATAAAAAAGTCCGCATTTTAACGATGCCTGGCCGTCCTATACCCATGGAGCTATCGAGCAACGGGGGTTAGCGGAATCGCAGAGCCGATCCCTGTCACAGAGAGAGAGCTTAAGGTCCAGACACACTGGACGCGATTCGACAACGCGACGCGATTTTTTAGTTTTTGAAAGTTAATAAAACAGCCAATGAGAGCAAATTTTGAAAGATATGTAGACCAAATAACTCAAGATGTTATAGCGCTTCTAAATATTTGGAAAATTTAAACTAGGATCAAAATTATCGGTCAGTGAAAATCGAAAAATCGCGTCGCGTTGTCGAATCGCGTCCGGTGTGTCTGGACCTTTATATTTGCATTTTTCACAACTGCTCCTGGGTAGATGTAATAAATAAAATTCGCACTTGAAATTCCCATCTACAAAAACGATTGGCGGTGAATTTTATCTAATTTAAGTACACGAAATATTGCGGAAGATTTGCGTTAGTAAGAAGATTTAGGACTCCCGTTGATTTACGATGATTGTCAAAATATTTTGAGAACCGAACAACATGCGATGAAGCTGTAAAAATGGTTTCCACATAATTTTAAGATATATTTCAAATGAGACAAACTAAATTTCAATTGCCACATCCCTTTAAAAGGCTTATCGTACTAGACTGTTTGTGTTGTAGAGAGTTTATGATGAAGAGGAAACTAAGGATGAAGAAGAAAAACATGATGAAGCAGTTGCTCAGGAAAAAGTATGTTCACAATTTACTGTATATGCATGCAGGGGTTGAAATGTTAATTTTTTTTGCTCGCCCAAGTGGCTACCAAGGAATACGATCTGATCGACAAATTTAACATCAGATCACTATGCAATGAAGATTTATTGCAGGTCTTAAAATATATTTTACAGGGCCGTCTGACAAAATGTCCGATGACGTTGAGTTTGGGTCGGACGTATGTCCGACGACCTTCAGTTCAATTTCGAGATTCGGAAATAAGTCTGAATGCCGACAAAATAAATATCAGCAGAATGTATTAATTCTGAACGGTAAATGTTGTGAAGATATATTAATTTGTTTCTTTCATACTTATTTCCAAGCCAAAATTAACTTGCTTTCCAGCACAGCAGTAAAAGTTAAGACAACTTAAGCCCGTTTTCCACTTCACCATGCATTTCGCTCCCCGCCCCGCGCTTGACTACGTTAAAACAAATTTCCAGTTCACCTTTTATACAATAGTACTCTGATTTTCCATTTAACATACGAGCCTCTAGTCCTGGGATAGGGTACATTTTGATTTACGTTGGACAAAGCTACAGTTCGGTCGGACACAAATACACTCAGGTCGGACAAACAATAAACCTCAATTTCACTTTGGTCGAACAGAATGTCTGGTGGTTTCCTCTCTACGTCGGACAATTTCACTAATGGGTCGGACAATGTCCATGACCGACCGATATTTTAAGGCCTGTATTGATCAATAAATTAATCCATGCATTCGTGAATTACATACCTAATAATTTTATCACATGCATGTAATAGTAACAATTTGTGAAACAATCAGACTCGTGTTCCAATCTTATCTCACCTTCCACCAGTCCAGCATCATATTAGACATGTTTGTTTCCAACATAACTCAAAAGTACAAGTTTAAAAATGAGGTCTAGTCTGTTCTGTGCATGTGCTGTGCGAGAACCCTCTGATGTAAACAATACTCATATTTCGACATCTTCTAAATTGAAACTCTAATCTATATTCATTTAAAAGCATATAACAAACCAGAACGATGTTAGATATTAACCAAGTGCATCATTTTTTATGAATATATAGTGTCTCCAAAATGTGAAAAAAGTTAATTTATTTCCACTTTTACAGACATTGGGCTATTTTTCAGTTCCATTTTCAGAGTTTAAAAGCAACGCATTAATAGTTCCCAGCCACAGGTAGATTTTGTGTTATGAAGAACTAACATTTCGAGCTACAAAAGATGGTCATATGGTGGCAAAAATCTTCCCCCCCCCCCTAATATTTTGCGAGGTGTCCGCCATGTATGGTACTATAACCATTCGCCCGTTTATTAACACGTTTTGCGCATGATACGCGTTGATTATATGCATGCGTATCATTCGGATAGGATGCGACCTAGACAGCCTGACAGGTCAGACTTTTAAATGGAAATGTTGTTGGTTATAGGAAAAAACAAGAGAAGAGTTAGAAACAGAAGTAATTCCAAAAATTAATGAAGCACTTCAATCTGGACTGGCAGTATTGGATGGCGCTTTTGTTACTGTGGAAATTACTCCCGAACGTGAGTACATTGTACACTGTCTTTAAAGATACTGTCTGTAATAGTATATTTAGTATTGTTGTGTCGGATTGACGGATACTGTTTTGTCGGATACCAGATAGTTAACAATTATTCACCGAAGTGGAAATGAATAGTTCAAGGATGTACAAGCTTATTAGTAATTTTATTCACTAGAAATAGTTTTGAAGAATACACTGTACCTCTAAACTTAGATATAATAAGTTGTAACTGTAGTAATTTTAGCCGTTCACTGTACTGTATAGGGAAACGCTTGATTTTGCAGTCAAGGGGGCGAAGAACTTTGCATGAAGTTGGGTTGAAAGATTTAAGGTTTGCAAAGGGCCAGGAAAGATGCGAAACTTTGAGATATTTGAAATTCGTTGGTCAACATTTCTTCGACACTTTTGTTAACAGAGATATCTGATGATGAAGACGAAGGAACTTTGCCTGAGAATTTAAAACCTGAACCAATTCTTGAATTAACGGTAAGGAAAATCACAGTATACAGTATGCGCAATCAGGCCTATAAAAAATCTTTTACAGGGCCGTCTGACAAAATGTCCGATGACTGTGAGTTTGGGTCGGACATATGTTTCGAAGGGAATCCACTGCAAACTTTGATTCACTTATAGAAGATTGATTAATCGCTTATTTATCGATTGTTGAAACCGATGAGTGAATTATAAACATTAACAATGCATAGCATGCACGCCTCTATTGTATGTTAGTGCGTTACCCGCGCAAGAGTGAGAAATGTTTTAAAACCCTGGTGAAACGACGGTGAGATTTGATGAGAGATGGCAAACGAGAGTTTACATCAGAGTTTTCTCAACTCTCATATCCCGGTGAAACGAGTACAAGCTGTTGCATGAGAGTTGACTGGATATTATCGCGCGCGTAGCGAAAACTCTCATCAACTCTCACTAGAATTTGTTCCAGCTCAAAGTTGATGAGAGCTGACGAAAGTGGAATGAGTTGACGCGAGCGAGAGTTTCAACTCCCATTCTTGTTACACTGGGGCATGACTCCACTCTATGTGTTGTGCCAGCCTCGTATACTGTACGTGTATTGAAATATACATATTCGGACTCTATATGTACTTTTGTTTGTTTAATAGGATGTTTATGCACATCGTAAGTTACCCAGTTTCATTGGCACTCCAGAGTTTCACACAGATGATCTAGTTGGCTTGGGAGAGTCATCCAGTGAAGGTAATGTAATAAGAATAATATCTTGGTCAAACGAGAATGGGAATTGGCAAGCGAGAGTTTACCTGTGCGTTGCCTCGGGAAACATTGCTAGTTGAGGGTCCACAAAACATGTTCACTGTTTCCCGAACGTCCCAGTCCTTAAGTGTTAATTATTTGAGAGTTTATGAGAACGGACTGCATGATATTCCCTTGCGCGTTGTGGAGACTCTCATGAAGATTTGACCCAGCTCCAAGTTGATGAGAGTTAGCGCTCAAACGCGAGAGCGAGAGTTGCAAAAGGCCCATTTCACACGGCGTACTTTTCATGTGCCAAACTTAATTGTATCCGATGCGACGCTGGAGCTATACAAGAACGGAAGTGATTCAAACGGGGTACAAAATATAATGTTATTGACAGGGTTGGGGCGCATTGGCGAGCGAATCTTAAATAAAATGCAAAACAAATAACTAAAGCCTATTTAAAAAAAATTACAAGATGGCTAATCTAATACTAACAAAATTCAAAAAGTTGAGTTCCAACTCTCACTCACCTTTGATCGCCAACTTTCATTCGTCTCTCATCAATTCGGAGCTGGTTCAAACTGTGATGAGAGTTCGCGAGAGTTTTTGTTCGTTTGACTGGTAATATGCAGTCAACTCTCATCAGCTCTCGTTTGTCCTAGGCATCAGAGTTCACTCTCATGCAAACTCTCGCTTCTCAGCTCTTATAATCTCTCTCGTTTTACGAGAACTTTAATCACGAAAGCTGGGTTTTCTAGCTGTGATATAATCTTGTGCCAGTGTAGGTACTACAGTGTCAATCATATTAACAAGCTTTCATTGCTAGGGATGCAACTATACCTGAAAACTATAAGGAGAATTTCGACGTTTTGAGCGAAGACCCTTCGTCTGGAGTTACTAGCCACTAGCCTTAGTAACTCCTGACGAAGGGCCTTCGCTCGAAACGTCGAAATTCTCCTTATATTTTTCAGGTAGTTGCATCCCTAACAAATCAAAATCAAATCATATAATAATTTATTCAAGATACAGAGATACAACTTATTGTGATACCAATGTTCTTGCAGGAGAACCATGAGGTTGACCCTATTCGAGTAGTTTCCCTTACCTAAATCTACGTTAAAAAATATTTATCAAACATCAGTTCCTAAGAGTACATGTCCATATGCTCTTTCAATCTACTTTTAAAAAGTGAAAGCCTATCAGCCTCCGCAACAGGCGCTGATAAACCATTCCACAAATTAATAATTCTGACAAAAAAAGAATGTTGAAAGCAATTTACTCTAGATAGTTTTGAGTATAATGTATATTTATGAATACATCGAGTTTTTCGAATATGTCTAAATTCAAAAACTTCATCAAATGAAATACCATTAAGTCCGAACACCGTCTTATAACACTCTATTAGTGAAGAATATTCCCTACGCTTTTGCAATGTATCCAGTTTTAGAATTTCACATCGACTGTCATAGGGCATTTCTCCACGTTTTTGATTTAACGCCATCCTTGAGGCTCTTCTTTGTACACTTTCCAAGGCCTTTACATCTTTCACTAACAACGAACTAACAACGAAAGCTTGTTTTCTAGCTGGCCTTCAACTAACAACGAAAGCTTGTTTTCTAGCTGGCCTTCTTTTCCCGGCTACACGGGAGCTACTGTATCCCAATTATACTGTATATAGCACTGTTTCTGCTGTTGGAAAAATACGATAGCTATAGGGATCTCAGGAATATATTTGCCGTGAACCGGTAGAATCTCTCAGCGGCCGTGGTTATACATCAGGGTGCGCCGTCTGGGTGTGATATATATGTTATCTACCGGCTGCGAGGTCCGGATGAGAAAAACTGTGCCCTAGGTCTTGTAAACGGCCCGAGCCCGAAGGGCGAGGGACGTTTTCAAGACCGAGGGCACAGTTTTTCTCATCCGGACCGACGCTGCCGGTAAATAACGTGTTTATTTTTTATCAGATGTAAAAATTAAATTCATTAAAATTCCAGTGTTGCTTGCGAACTAATTTGAGATCAGTGCAGTTGTGCATTTTCAAAGCGAGGCTGACAAAAATTGAAAAGTTGAAAGATATAAAACACGAATACGAAAACTCGAGAAAACTGGCAAGAAACACACAAAAAGACGTATAGTTTCAGTAAAAATGTACATACTTTTTTCATGAATATGGTAGCAGAGAAGCTTTGGAATAAAGACTTTTATGCCTGGCGTTTTGGCTTTGACAAAATCAGTTTCTCTTGACAACAACAGGTTCATGTTCAGATCCGATCAAAAACATATAAAAATGAATCTGTTTTGATTTAATCAACGTTTTTCTACTAAAAGAACAATGAAAAAGGTATGTTATTTTTATATTTTTGTATTTTCGCTTGTCGTTTCACGATAATACGCTTGAAAAAAGTGTTTTTAAACACAAATTTTTACTTTTTTTACAATATTTATATCAGTGAAAAATGCATGACACAAATAGCCAGAGAATATATATTCGTGACTTGTTTTCACTGCTGCAGTTTAACCTTCTTTTAAATGGGAGAGCATTTATTTTACAATATCTGTTTCAACTGTAATTTTTTCGCTTTTAAGTGGCCAAATACATGAGTATTTAAAAAATATGTAGTTTTCTCGACGTAAGTTTTATACATGTCAAAAAACTTTCCGACTTTCAGTCGCATTTCTATCAAAATATTGTCAATTCTGGTGAACATCGTGCTTAGTATGAAGTCTTTAGGGCTTGATGCAATTCATTTTCGCATTCTGACTATCGTTAGGCTATGTTTTTCAAACGTTTTTGGCAGATTTTTTCGTTTAAAAATTTTGTTTCACTCCTCGGTTTTTGGCGCGAAAACCAGAGCGGGCAGTTGCATTTCACAGCGGGCAGTTGCGTTTCACAGCGGGCAGGATGCATAAAACCGGCCCGCTCTGAAAGGCTCCTCAGCCAATCAGATTGCTTCATTTTTACTGAGAAAAAATCCAATATTTTTAGTCGTACCTGACTGGTATACGGCAATGATTGTTGCCGCGTACTTGCGCTGGTACAAACTCAATACTCGACTTAGTTTTTGAAATGAAGTACATATTGTAAAGTACAGTATGTTCAAAGTCCTAGTTAGAACGAGAAGCACATGCAATTGCACTTACAAACAGTCGACCTCAACATTCCTTAGTGCTATAGACTTTATGCATAACGACGTCACAAGGCGTGATGCGCGCGGGGAATTCTGGTCTTAGTAATCACGGCGGGAAAACCATCCAACATGGCCACTGTCGTAAGGTGAGTGTGCTGCTGTTCTTTGTCGTCTTCTAGAGACTGTTCAAGCCAATGAAGACCCTATTTCTTTTCAGAACTCTTGCACGGAACTTCAGAGTTGGCAGCCCTGAAAGTAACGGCAACAGTCGCTTTCATCGACCAGGACGAGTAAAACAAGTGGCGGTTTTACGTATTGTGTTCCTGGTTGTTTTACAAACAATAAACAAGTCCATAATTCGTTTGTGTACGATTTGCAACATTCACATATGGCAACTGGTTCATGTAGATTTTACGTCATCCTGGAAAATGCAAAGAACACACTCTATGGCCTGTTGCTGGTAAGAAATCTTTGCAGGCAATTACATTTATCCACTTCTTACCGAGTTCTTTTGATTCCACACTTTTACCACTTGGAAAATTATTAAAAGAAGACTCGGGATTTCTTTTATTTTCCGCCACTTCTTTTACTCGTCCTGGTCGATGAAATCAGACTGTTGCCGTTACTTTCAGGGCTGCCAAACCTCTGAAGACCCGTGCAAGAATTCTGCAAAGAACTAGGGTCTTCATTGGCTTGACCAGCCTCTAGAAGACGATAAAGAACAGCAGCACACTTACCTACGAAAGTGGCCATGTTGGATTGTTTTCCCTCCGTGCTACTTGTCATTAATAGGTCGTTAATTAATAGTGTTTTTGACATTAGTTGGTTTATATTCAATTTAGGACAATAGACAATTTAGGTTATTTAGATTTATTCAAATTTGCATGATATATAACATGTTGTTGTTGTAAAAGTTTGTTAGTTGGAAATACATTTATTGCAAAACAACACTCGTATTGTGAGTTTGTCTACAGGTTATGGGCCCAGAACATGCTGTTAGGATCGTTTAACAATCCTACGTCGCCGGTTTTTCGATAGAACTTCAGTTTGCTGAACAAATAACGCTTGTAATAATAACTCGTACTGGTCTGTTGACGACTAATGGAGGAAAAATGGTCAATCGACAAGTTAGACGGGAGCAATTGGAGTACTTGGAAGTTTCAAATGAAGCATTTGCTGTTGGCGAAAGGGCTGTGGGGTTTCGTAGACGGTTCGGAAGAGCTAGCAGGGTCAGCTTCGGGAGAAACGGCGGCACAATTTCGTTCGAAAACGCAAAGGGCGTTCTCAACAATTGTTTTAGCAATTAAATCAGCTCAGCTATATTTGGTTAGCTCATGTGAAAATCCGAAGCAAGCGTGGGATGCACTAAAGAATCATTTTGAGCGAGATACGTTGGCGAACAAACTGTTTTTAAAGAAAAAGTATTTCCGAACGGAGATGAAGGAAGGAACTTCTATGGAAAAACATTTGAAACACATGAAGGACATCGCGGATAAATTGGCAGCTATCGGTGCACCTATCTCTGAAGAGGATCAAGTTGTGACTTTATTAGGAAGTTTGCCGAGAAGTTATGCAACTCTTGTAACCGCCTTAGAAGCCAGAGTTGATGATGTGAAAATGGACTTCGTTCAACAAGCACTTTTGCATGAAGAATCGAAGCAAGTACCTAAGAACGAGTCAGTTAAGAATGAGTCTGCCTTAATGGGAAACCGAAATAAAAATTTTCGGGAAAGTCGGACGTGTTTTAAGTGTGGAACTGTTGGCCACATTCGTCGAAATTGCCCTCAGGAAAAAGCGAGATATACAAAGCCAGTGTATAAATCAAGACATGGAGCAAAAGTCGGAAAGACCCAAAACTCTGATAGTGAATCTGAAAGTGGTGCTTGTGTATTTACAGTGTCCGAGGGAAATGCAAAGCTTTCTGATTGTCATTGGTTGATCGATTCTGGAGCTTCAAGTCATATGACGAAGGACAAAAGTGTTCTGGTAAATTATCAACAGTTTGGGGAACCCGAAAGCGTTGCCTTGGGAGATGGTCGTGTTGTACAAGCGATGGGATCTGGTAACGTGCATATGGATATGTTGTTCTCTGG